TCTAAAATATGATTTTTTTATGGATAAAAAGAGAATGAAATAAGATAAATAAATAATAAAAAATAATATTTTGATAACTTAAATCCATATTATTTTTAAAAAATAACCTACTTTTAATATTACAACAATAATTTTAATTAATTTTTTATTAAATTTTTATCATTATTATATTAATAAAAAGGTTGTAGGAAGAGTTGTTTGAATAGGAGAATGTCAAAATATTATTGTTTTAAATAATAATATAAAAATCTAAAAATAAATTATTAAATGGATGTTTTTATTTTTTGCTGTGTGAAAATATCAATCTTTTCTTTATATATATATATAATCATCTTTTTTAAGATATTTTTACACCAATCCTTATTAATTATATATACGTACTACTTTGTTTTAAAATGAAAAGAAATCATATTTGTTATCTTAATTATTATTGTTTTCTTCGATCGGAATAATAGGGTAAATACACTACAAGAAAAACACCAAATAGTGACCGAAAATTTGGTCACTAAATGTGCAAAATCGGTTACTAATTAAAATAGTGACCAACTCGGAATCGATCACTATTTCCTTGGTCACTGATTTTAGTGACCGATTCAATGATCGAATATATATAATCAAATCGGTCACTGATTCGAGCCACTAAATCAATGAAAAAGAATAACAAATTTAATTATTTTTATTTATTTACATTTTTATTATATCTATTATTTATTTTCCCTATCTCTTAATTATATTATATTTTTTAGAAGTTTAACTTATTATTAGGTGGTTTATTGTCATTGTCGAGATTCAAACCCGGTACCTTAGAGTTGGAGGTTGAAACTCCAACCACCGAGCTACTAGGATCTTTTAATAATAACTTACAAATAAATTATATTTATATACAAATAAATGTATATCCGTATAAATATATAAATATAAAATCTATAAATAAAAATATATTTATATATTTTAATATATATTTAAATATTGATATATTTATATATTGATATATTTATATCTTTATATTTTTACATATATTTATATTTTTATATATTTATATCTTCATATTTTTACATATATTTATATGTTTTCATATTTATATATAAAGATAAGAAAAAGATTTAAAAATATATATAAATTATATTTACATTTACAAAATATTAAAGATATATGTTTATATCTTTACATATTTATATATATTTATATGTTTATATTTACTTCTAATAGCGGTTGCACCATCGCTCGAGCGAGATTAGAGTCGCTCAAGCGAAATACAACCCGAGAATGCCAATTTGTGCGAGGAGCGTTTCGCTCGAGCGAGAACATTGGTCGCTCAAGCGAGATACAGTTTAGATAGCGGTTACACGAGAACCGCTCTTAAAAGCTCACTTAGATAGCGGTTAACCCTTGAACCGCTATTATATGGTTTCCATTATGATCGGTCGAATGCAATTATGACCGATCGAACTCTTTAATCGATTAAATCTCATTTCAATCGATTAAAACAATTTCTGCATGACGTTTTAATCGATTAAAACTTATTTTTATTAGTTAAAATAACTTGAAAAGTTTTACAAGAAACTTATATTTATATATTTATATTTTTATATATTTATATTTTTATATATTTATATATTTATTTATATCCTTATACATTTATATCTTTATATATTTATATATTTGAAAAAAAAATATTATATTTTTAAAAATAAATATTAGAAAATGATTTAAAAATTCTCAATTCTACATTTTTGTAAATTCTATCATTATATTATCATGCTCATTATATCAAAATGTTAAATACTTTTAAATATTAAAATTAACATTATAAAAAATTAGGAAAAAAATTAATCCAAAAGAGTTCAAAAATGTATTATAATATTGTCAATTTTGAGTTCAATTATATTGTTCATTCTCAAAGTAGAAAAATATATTTTAAAATTTTAATACTAAAATTAAAAGATTAAATAATAATAAATTTAATTCTTTAAATTCAATTGCTATAAACTAAAATTATAGTTTCTCTGTTTGAAATAATTAAAATAAATATTTAAAAATAAAAATCAAAACTAGTATTATCTTAAATTTATTAAAAGTGTAATTCAAACTTCTCAATTCTACATTTTTGTAAGTTCTATGATTATATTATTATCCTCATCTCCTCCCATGTTCTACTTTATCTTTACAATAGTCAATATTCTTAACTAATTTATAGTTTTAATTATAATTTTTTAGTATATATTTCGAAATTAATCAATTCTAATCTATTATTTGAAAAACTAATCAATTCTAATCAATAATTTAGAAAACTAATCGATTATAATTAATTATTTGAAAAAATTATCAAATAGGATCGATCATTTCGAAAATATAATCGATCAGAATCAAATATCGCTCAGGCGAGACTAGACTCGCTCAAGCTGAAACACAACCCGAGAGTACTAATTTTGTGCAGGGCGTTTCGCTCGAGCGAGAACATCGTCGCTCAAGCGAGATACAGTTAAGATAGCGGTTACACAGGAACCGCTCTTAAAAGATCACTTAGATAGCGGTTAACCCTTGAACCGCTATTATATGGTTTCCATTATGATCGATCAGAATGAAATTATGACCGATCATAATGAAAACTTACATTAACTATTTTTTTTATATTATGTTTTTAAATTTTCTATTAGAGAAAACCTTTCGAATTCAAAATGTTAAATACTTTTAAATATTAAAATTAACTTTATCAAAAATTTGGGAAAAAAATTAATGAAAAAAGAGTTCAAAAATGTATTATAATATTATCAATTTTGAGTTTAATATATTGTTCATTCTCAAAGTAGAAAAATATATTGTAATTATTTTAATTTAATAAAATATAATTTAAAATTTTAATACTAAAATTAAAAGATTAAATAATAATAAATTTAATTCTTTAAATTCAGTAGCTAGAAAGTAAAATTATAGTTTCTCTGTTTTAAATAATTAAAATAAATATTTAAAAATAAAAATCAAAACTAGTATTATCTTAAATTTATTAAAAGTGTAATTAAATATCTATTTTCTTAATTTTATTTGTTTCAAACTTCTCAATTCTACATTTTTGTAAGTTCTATCATTATATTATCATCCTCATCTCCTCCCATGTTCTACTTTATCTTTACAATAGTCAATATTCTTAACTAATTTATAGTTTTAATTATAATTTTTTAGTATATATTTCGAAATTAATCAATTCTAATCTATTATTTGAAAAACTAATCAATTCTAATCAATAATTTAGAAAACTAATCGATTATAATTAATTATTTGAAAAAATTATCAAATATGATCGATCATTTCAAAATATAATCGATCAGAATCAAATATCGCTCGAGCGAGACTAGACTCGCTCAAGCTGAAATACAACCCGAGAGTACTAATTTTGTGCAGGGGCATTTCGCTCGAGCGAGAACGTTGTCGCTCAAGCGAGATACATTTTAGATAGCGGTTACACAGGAACCGCTCTTAAAATCTCACTTAGATAGCGGTTAACCCTTGAACCGCTATTATATGGTTTCAATTATGATCGGTCAGAATGCAATTATGACCGATCATAACTATTTTAATCGATTAAATTTCGTTTCAATCGATTAAAACAATTTTTGCACAGCGTTTTAATCGATTAAAACTTATTTTTATCAGTTAAAATAACTTGAAAAGTTTTAGGAGAAAGTTTTGCAGTATTTCAATCGATTGAATCGCGAAACAATCGATTAAATTAACTTAGAAGATTTTTTGTAAAGTGTTTTAATTGATATAAACGTTGTCGTATCAGTTAAAACAAATTTGTTAAAGAATCAAGAACGTATTAATGGATTAAAAGAAGTTTTAACAGATTAAAATTGCACTTTTAACAGATTAAAAGAATCTTTTAACAGATTAATTAAACCAAGTAGCTTTGAAAATCTTCTATAAAAACAGTTTGGCTTGAACTTTTTTAACATACATTGAATATATCATCTTTAAAAAATAAATAAATTTATATATATATATATATATATATATATTTGCATTTTAATTTTCAAATATTAATTTTTTTATGAAATTAATTTTAATTAAAAAAATTAAAGTGATACATATATATATATATATCCAACTATTAAATTATTCAAGATATTAATATAAATTTAAAATATCAATTCAAGTAATTAAAATAATTTTAATTTTTTATAAATACATTGAAATACATTTTTATTAACATACAAGTAATATATATATATATAAAGAGACTAAATTAATAATTAATTTAATTATTGATTTAGTGACCGAATCGATGATCGAATCAGTGACCGATTCGATGACCGAATCGATGATCGATTCGATGACCGAATCAATGACCGATTCAGTGACTAATTTAATAATCAATTTTAATTTTTTTATTCACATGTTAAATTAAAAAATAAAATCAAATAATTATATTACTAAATTATTTAATAAGTTAGTAAACAATTTTTTTTAAATATTTATAATGTTATTAAAAATGTTATCAATTATTTTAAATTATTAAGTAAATTTATATTTAAAATATTTTAAATAAAATATTTATATAAATGAAAAATAGTTATCAGTTTAAAAATTATTTTTTTAGTGATCGAAATTTTAGTCACTAAATCAGCTTACGAAATATAAAAAAAAATCAAGTAACAAAAATAATTACATAAATTAAATATAGATTAATTAAAAAAATAAATTAAATAATAAAGTGACTCGAAATAGTAACCGATTTTATGTGACCGAAAATTCGGTTACTATTTCGGTTACTAGACTAAAAAATAATAATTTAGTTACTCGATTCGGTCATCGATAAGTAACTAAATTTTTTGGTCATTGATTTCGGTTACTTATTTGACATTTTTCTAAGTAGTGATATAATCGATATTATATATATGCGTGTGCATAGAATAAATAATAATATTAATAATCAGGATTATGAATTTAAAACAATATGTTGGGTGAAATACATAGATATATATATCAATGTGTTAATTAATTCAACGGTTTGAGATAGAAGTATGATCTAGAATTCTTCCAGAGATGGCAGAAGCAAGTGCAGCTGTGAAATTAGGGTCTGTGGTCAAAGTATTAGCCATTTGTTGAACTAAAAACTGCTGGATGGATGACTTTTGCGCATTAATGTCAACCACTTTTGACGGGATGAAGTCAAGCGTTGCAATTGGGCCTGCACTCGGGTTCATGGACGAGGGTGAAGCTGAGGGTGAATTCGCTGATATCTCCGTTTGATGTTCACCATGGTTGTGCTCTCCTTCGTAAGTTGTTACCAGCACAGTTGGATCCTCCACGCTTCTCTGCACCTGATTAGGTAACATCTTCATCATTGATTACAGTAAACAATCAACATTGCTCTTGTTTCTTTATGCATAAATCTTTATCACACTAATTACCTTCTTCTTCACCGGACACCCTGGGGCATAAGAACACTTGAAGTAAGCCCTAGGAGAAGGGTTATCTCTCGTCACTTTTTGACCATATTTTCTCCACTGATATCCGTCCCTTACATACTTCAACACCCAAAAACAAATTAAGGATCCTTAGTTAGTTCTTAAAACCTCCAAATACTTAAAATACACTATAACCTGATCAAATTAAAGGAACCAAGTTATGTTCACACATCAAACAATAACAAATGGATCTTGAAATATCGAATACAGTTGTTTATGTTGGTATAATTTGACGTTGAAGATGGAACTTACTAAGCTGGTATCAGATGCATCTGTCCGAACAAAAACTTTGGAAACGTTTGGGGAGGTACTATGCTTAGGCCTTTTGAATGTCTCTTCTTCAGTGATGGTGCTGCACTCAGTATAGGCGTTGACACCAAACAGATTCACGCAGTTCTCGCTTTCGACCTTTCTTTTCATGGATGGTATTCCTTCTTTGTCAAAATTTGCGTTCTTCATTCCGTTGAACTCACTCAAATGTTTCTGCAAAGCAACATAGTTCTCGCACACCTGGTTCAACCTCTCAGTTAGCCTCTTGTTCTCACTACTTAGACGCCGCAACTCTTCAACCAAAACTTCCCCCTGATAACAAATTTTCCAACCCAATTATTAGATCACAGCAAAAGGTTAATTATATATAATGGTTGGCGTTACATGTATATATTATATATATATACAAACCGCGAGGTCTTTGTGCGAAGATGGAATAACGTTGAGGTTGAGAGAAGTGTCGACACACGTTGGTTCCATGGAAGAAAGATCTGCTTCTGAATTAAGAGACAGAGGGAATGAGAGAAACTAAAATGGTTGGTTGAGGCAAAACGAGTTTAGTTTAATTGGATACAAGAGAATGATATACGGAGTATACATATATCTACAGCTATAACTATAGATATATATGAAAATATAATATATGAGAGGGAGATGAAGACTTTTATTATTATTTGTTGCGAGGAAAGTGGCACGAAAATGACGAGAAAACAGTCTCGTACAGTTTCCTCATTTCCAGGTAGTCTGCAGTTTATTTTATGTCCATATGCAGTTGAAGCCAACGCGCATTCCACAGATAAAAGAAACTTCTTGGATTTTTTTATTTTTATTTTTAATTAAGAATATAATAATAAAAATAATAATTAATATACTCATAATATAAAAAGTAATAACTTGATTAAACTTTTATTTCAATAGAAATGATATCCGACATGTTTATTACAACCACTTCCTTTTTATTTATTATTTATTATTTATTATACATATCATATTTCTTCTTAATTATAAACAAATATAACTGATTATTCTCCCTTGAGAAGTCTAGAATGTTAAATAGAAATTAACGCGTTATTTAAGTGAGAATGACTCGTATTATATATGTTGGTGTAATCTTATGAAAGACTATAAACAAGGAGAAGAAAAATATATATTGTTGGTGTGAATGGAATGTAGAGAAATAAGAGTTTATTTTGTTCAGGAAAAAGATTTATTAAAAAAAGAGTAGAATGAAATTTTGTGTGTCTATAGGTGGATGAAGATGGAGAAGGGAAAGAGATGAAAAATGTTTGGTTAAAGAAGTGGAGGAAGAAGAATTTGATGGAGTGGTCCATGTCAAAGTTTTTGATAAAGTTGATATTTAAGGATTTGGGTGTTCTGTGATTGACCGTAACATGATCCCATTGACTTGATTCATGTGGTTTTGGTGGTGATTCCGTGTGAACTTTCACTATTTGAAGCAGAATTTTGAATGCAGAAGAAAACAAAATGGAGTACCTTGTTCTTGGTCTTCTTCGTTGTTGACCATCCCTTGCATGTGAAACCAAGCACCAAGTCTTATTCCTTTTCTTGTTCTACTTTCCTACTCTTACTAATTGCCCATTTATGTTAACATTTCAATTTCAACAAACACTTATCAAGATAGTTTTTTTTTTTTTAATAATATTTATGGCTTCCAACTTCCATGCATTTTTTATCACGATCGAGGAATTTGAAAATGGTAAACTCAACTTCTCCCCATTTTTTTTTCAGTGAACTTTATTTACTTCATGGATGTATATTATTATATTCGACTTTATTTATGTTCAACTCTTTGACAACACGAAAAAAACAAAACTTCAAATTCGAATTGTTTAAAAATTAATTAGAATTAAATATTTTTTTATTATTCATAGATAGGATTTGTAATACCCTTAAATTTCATCCGTAATTTACACATTACATGAGTACGTACCGTCTTCTAGAAGGTTCGACTTCAATAAAATAACGCGCACTCTTAAATCAGATCCTATAATAACTCGTAAAACAATTGTTTTATTTAAATGTAAAGAACAAATTAATAAATAAAGTACGAAATGATAACTTTTAATTAATAATCATAATTTAAGACTAAGATTTTAGTAGAGTCACGCTTTATTCCGTAAATTATTTAAATTCATATATTTTATTGGATAAAGTTAAATGATCCGTATTCACAACTAGGGCCACTGTGACAATATATAAAACTTCCAAAAAAACGATTCCTCTTATTTTCAAGAAACACACACGCAAATTCAAGAAAAAGGAGAATCCTCTTAATTTCAATTTGAAGAAAAATTTGATCCAAAACAAGACCTTGACTTAAATGAAATATTTAATTTATTTTGGAACTTCCTTGGCAATAATAAATGTGTCATTTGAACGCACCAACACTCAAACTTTGCGTCTCACTAATTTATCATGACAACTACTAGAAGATTATACCGCCATCTCAATTAGGTTTTCGTCTCCATCATCGTATCATTTTTTTTTTCTTTTCAATCACATTTCACCAACGTCCCATTTCAAACTACTATTTATTACACTCTGTTTCTTTTTCTCTTACTTTCTTCTCGGGTAATGTTTTTCGTCTTCTATCCAAGAGTCTCATAGAATACATCGAAGAAATTAAAGTATGAATAAGAGATTTTTTTATTTTTCATTTAAGATATTCTCTATGTCATTTTTTAAGGGAACTTAAAACATGGACATATTTTTTTTTTTCACTTTATAAAGCGAATTCCATCGCCCACTATTAGTCATGGATATACGATGGTTTTGTTGAAAAAAGTGTAGGCAATAATGTTAAATATAAACTGTATCACAAAATCGATTTAATATTTTGTGTGATAACATAAATTCATATTATTAATCAAACCTTTAATCTATATCTCAATTTTAATGTATGTTATGATAATAAGTTTAATTCTTATATCTCAATTTTATATATGTTATGATAATAAGTTTAATTCTTATATATGATATTTTTTTATTTTAAAATTTTAGTCTATCATAGTTTTATCTATAAAAAACATTTTAATGGGTTAAATAAGGAAGTCGCATATAAATTATTTTTACTCTCGATTATTAAGTAATTGGATACTCATGAGTATATCAGAACATAACACTTCAATCGAGGATTAACAGGTAGATAAAAGTGGAGTCAAACTCTGTTTTTGACCTCATAGTGGACGCTAAATGTTTTATTTAGGAATGAGAATGTAATAGTGTCATATCTGCTACGATAACATCACTATGTTTAATTATCACATCCGATATATTGTCCGTTTTGGAACTTTAGTCTATCACGATTTTTTCCATAAAAAACGTCTCAATGAGCTAAGAAAAGAAGGTATATATAAACTACCATTGGTTTTCACTCCTAAGCAATGCAAGATTGATGAGCAAATCCGAACATAGTCTTCCAGTCGAAGACTAACAAGATAAGTAGAAGTGAAACGAGACTTTGCTCTCGACTCCATTATGGATGCTAAATGTTTCGTTTAGGAATGAAAATATTTTTGTCTCATATATGCTAAGATAACATCACTAAGGTCAATTCACGTCCAAGGTATTGTTCGCTTTGTAACTTTAGTCCGTCACAATTTTATCCATAAAATGTGTATCAATGGATTAAAGATATATATATATAAACTATCATTGACTTTAACTAACACTATTATTCTTAAACAAAACATTTAACGCTCACAGTGAGCCTGAGAGCAGAGTCTCGCGCTATTTCTACTTATCCCTTAGTTCTTGGTTAAAGGGTTATGTTCTGATTCACTCATAAATCTCACATTGTTAATCATAACCTCATATCCACTAAGATAATATCATCAGAGTCAATTATCACGTCTGAGGTAGTGTCTTTTAAAACTTTAGTCCATCACGATTTTGTTCTTAAAAGGCACATATGTGAGTTGAGAGAGGAAGATATATACAAACAACCCTTGGCCTCAACTCCTAAGAGATATGGGAGTCATGAGCATATCAAAACATAGTGCCCCAATCAAGGACTAAAGGGTATGAGTAGAGTGAGACTCTCCTCTCTTAATCCACCGAGATGTCTTTTAAAGATAAAATCATGACGAACTAAAGTTTCAAAACGAACAATATCTCAGACATGGTAATTGATCCTAACAATACTATCATAGCAGATATGAGGTCAAGATATTCTCATTCCTATACAGAACATTTAACGTCCACCGTGGGACCAAAAACAGAGTATTGCTCCACTTCTACCTACCTCTTAGTCCTCGACTGGGGGTTGTGTTATGGTATGCTTAAGAGTTAGACAAAGAATATTTTATATTTATCGTCCTCTCTTTGTTGATAATTCAAGTGTGAGTTTAAAGTCTCACATTGGATAAAAATGGGAAAGTTGAACTTATAAGTAAAAAAGACCTATAACCTAATACCTTAAGGTTTTTAGTTAAATGTGGTGTTATATTATCATATATGGTTGATTTGTGTCCCATTTGTGATAATCTTTTTGTTATTAGCCTCCCTCAAAAATACCCAATTGTATCTTTGAATGAGTCCAAGTTTATTACAATAATAACACTCCACACTCTTATATCTTATAAGAGCATGTGGATTATTGATAGTGATGTTACACAACACATTCATCTTACACTTATAGTGATAGTGGTGTTGGTGATGTTTGCTTGCAAACCAACATGGAAATACAATTATTACTTATATGGGTCAAACATGCTCTAGTGTGTGTTTTAATATGATATTTGTGTATTTGCTTAATGATTGTGATTATAACAATTACTTTGGTTCTGATATATAGAAGAACACTAAAGATAACTTGGTCATGGCTAGAGAGGAGATAAATTCTAAATTGTATTAGACTAAAGTTTTGGTTGCTAAGGGTAATATGAAAGTTATGTATATGGAGGCATCTTTGTGAGATTGAAGACTTTGTCATATAAGTGAAAAAAGACTTTATTGCTTAGCTAAAAAGGATATGTTTTTGGGATTAAATAATGCAAAGTTGGAGAAATATTCTCATTGCATGACTGGTAAACAACCTAGAATATCATTTAAGAAACATCATCCCTCGAGAAAGTTAAAGTTGCTTAAATTGGTGTATTCTAATGTTTGTGGCTCATTGAAGGTAAAGTTTGTAATGATGTACTTTACTTTGTTATTTTTATTGATAATTATTCCAGGAAGCTACGAGTCTATGCACTACCAAGAAGTGATCAAGTACTTGAAAAGTTCAAAGAATTTTATGTTTTTGTTCATAAACAATTAGGTAAGAAGTCGAAATGCATTTGTACTGATAATGATGGTGAGTATCGTGGATCCTTTGATGTTTATTGTAAGCAGCAGAGTATTAAACATAGAAAGACTCCTCTTAAAACTCCTCGGTTGAATGGTTTAGTAGAGAGGATAAACAAAACTTTGGTTGAAAGAGTTAGATATATACTTTTTGATACAAAGTTGGCTAA